ACCATTTGCCCTTGTTGATCTGGTTCCTTAAAAACAGGACAGACCCTTTGGAACCCAGCCAGATCCTCCCCTCTCTCTGCGGCCGCCTGTAAAGTAGCCTGCAGGGCCGAGAGAGGGCGGGGCGCTGGGGATGAGAGTCGTGGGACAGGAGGGGAATCTAGCTGAAGATCGGGGCGGGCAACCTCAGGAAAAGGGTCGAGCCCTGCCAGGATGCTGGGCCGAAGTGGCCGTTCCTTCAGCAGTGCTTGTTCCTTTTGTTTCCATTTCCAATTAAACCATAACATATCTAAAGGATTTGAAGGATGTGTATTTTCAGATTTATCCTTTTTATCTTTCACTTTCATTTTTTCGGTAAGAGCTATCAGAGAGAAAGGAGGCCATTTCTCATTACTATACTCAGTCGCCTCCTCCTCCAGATCCATGGCATCGGAGGGGTCGAGGGGTTCATCTAAACCTTCTACAAGAGGGGGGGCTGAAGGAGGGCACTCAGTTTTGGGGGGGTTTTCTGGTTTGTTTTTTTTTATTAATCTTGGAGCTGCAACCGGCAGGGGATCAAGACCAGCAATTATACTAGGAATTATTCGTCCCTCGCCCTGAGCCTTCTGGCTCTCCTCTTCCACCTTTATGCCTGTCTGCCACTGCTGGCAAAGAAACTCCAATGTCTTTTCTAACCTAGAGTAATCTTGTAACTGTTTTCCTACTTTAGTCCAAAGTTCCAAATCAACTGATCCCTCTTCGGGGAACCATGGGCAGACATTCTCTACAAATTCCAAAAAGTGACACAGTTGCTGTTGCCCAACCTTAGCTCCCCGATTACAGAGCATCTTTTTAAATATCTGAGTGAACAGCATCCGACTACTAGTAGTCCCCATAATTTATATCACCGCTCCGTACTTACTTGTCCGAGCTCACAATCCAGTGGCGTCCTTCACCTTGTCCTCAATTCTCAGGTCCCTGTTCGGGCGCCACTCGTGATGGAGCCAGCCGTCACTAGTGGAACAGTACCTGAGGAGAGGGGTGAGGATTAAGAAAAACAACACAAACTTGAGAGAAAGGAAAGGGAGGAGAGAG